TGCCACAACACTACGTTTTCCCTTCCTTTTCTGAAATAAAGGACTGGAATTTTAAAGCGGAGGCTGGGAGGGGGGGGCTCCGAAGGCCCCCTCCCCACCCCCCCTGTCTCCTGGTTGCTTGAAGAATTTTATAACTGGAGACCTGGAGCAGAAATGTTTTCCCCTCTCTACAAGGATGACTACTGAATTCATTTTGTGGGGTTTTGTTACTTTTTTTAAAAAGAAATTATTTATATTTGGTTTTATTTCCTTTTTTTTCTCCCCCTTTTGGTAACTCAACGGTATTTGTGTTGAAATGATTTTTTTTTTAAATTGCTTTGGGGGGGAAAACCTGCTGTGTTCCCATTCTAGTAAGTTTAGCCGTGAATGGTTCTTGTATAAAAAGTCTGGATTTTGTGTCAAAGTGTGGTGGCTGTCAGACTCCCCCCCCCCCCTAAAATGGAGCACTAAGTTTGAGCAAGATGCTCAGCGGGGACCTTTAACAGTTGAAGAGGAGGAGGAGGAGGAGGAGGAGGAGGAGGTGGCTTCATCTTTCATGCCCTCATTTTAAAAAAAAGTCTTGCTGGCCCATTGAAGAAAAAGCCACAGAAGCAGCAAAATCCCAGCCTTTCTCTTCCTGGGGGGATTTTAAATTTCGGCCTCTGCGGAAGGAGCATCATAAGCGGAGAAGAGATGGGTGGAGGCCTCTGGACCAGCCTGAGCCAGCCCCACAAGCTGAGAAGACCCAGGCTGGATCCTGGCTACGCATGGGGGCCACAGAGGAGCCCGGAAGGCTCCCGTATTTGCAGCCTGTCTCCCTAATTCTCCGCTCGTTCCCATCTGAAGCTGCCGGAGAGAACCGAGGGGCTCCCGGGCCCCCGTCCGAAGGGCCACCTGTGGGCTCGGCCACAAACTGGCCGCCCCGATCAAGTGGGGGAAGCGGCTGCTCTTACTGACCTGGGCAGGGTTTACATCAGCTGGGCCTTCTCAGCCGGGAAGAGTGGCCTGCGTAAACCCTGCTTCAGTCGCCCTGCCAGGGTCTGCCAGCCTGGGAGCCCCCGTGCCATCATCTGCCCTCTCACCCCAGAAAACCAGGTTAACCATAAGCCACAGTGGGATTAACCCCTTGGAAATCTTCCTTCAGCAGAAGCCCGGAAGGAGCCTGGCAACGGGTAAGGGGGCTGACGGCGTCACTCCAGCCCCGGCCGGGAGGGGGAGGCTGGGCAAGAAACACCGGAGCCGGCTGGGCAGCATCCTCCACACCACCGGGCAGAGCGGGGGTTGCCTGGTGCCCAGCTGCCAGTCTACCTGGCTGGGCTGTTGTAGCGGGGAGGAGGGGCTGCTCCGTGAGCTCTTGAACAGACAGGAAGGTAGAAAGCCTGAATAAGGAACATCTGGGCTTCTAGCTAAATGCAGCTCAGTTAGAGGAAAGAATCCAGCGGCTTCTTACAGGAGGGGCCCTCGAACTTTTGGAACAGGGTGGATTCACAGTCCCTGGGGGGGGGGAGGTGGTCATGTGACTAGGTGGGTGTGGCCTCCCCGGGATCATCAGGTTCTTGGGCCAAGGGGCAATTGTGATCAGCTGCATTGATTTGGGGAGCCTCTTCCTGCCTGGGTGCCGTTGCCTTCCCTGAGCCTTCAGCGATCTGCATTCTGCCCTCTTTGGGTTAAAGGAACCCTCGGGTGAGCTCCACCACGGAGCCCCTTTGGTGAAGCATCTCTGGGCCAGCCAGGAACAGAGGCACCTTCCAGGCCAGGGAGATGATCTCGGCCTGCCAGGGCTGAATTCCCCCCCAGGGGAAGGGAGCTGCTCCGGGCCCTTCGTCTTTGCCTCTCTTGTTGGCCCTGCCGGCTCTGAGGTGGAGGAGGGAGACTGTAATTTTGCTAATTAATTGGCAATCATAATCGTTAGGTCTTTGCGTTCTTTGTCTCTCAGGCCTCCCCTGTCACTACTAATTAGCCTGGCGCTTTCTTGTCGATTTCCTCCGGGACAAGGGGAAAACGGCACTGGCGCTAATCCCCCTTTTCTTTGAGAGCGAAGCCCGTGGCGGTTTTCTACGCAGAAGGAAGGCCGGTTGACTGCCGAGGGGCTTCCTCCGCTCACCAACCCACCCTTCCTCCGATTGTGTGCGGCCGGCCAGTCTAGCCAGGGGGTCATTGGGAGCTCTCCCCACACTCAAATGGGGAGGGGGGGGAGACCCTCTGACACTCCAGGGTCTGCCTTCCTCTCTGCTCCAGGCGTGAAGGCTCAGCAGACCCCGGCGTGGCATCTGAGCTGGGCCACCTGGAAAGCTGCTGGAGCTTCAGTTGTGGGCATATAATGTCACCAATGTTTTTGATAACGTTACCTTGTAGGGTAATGAAACGTCTGCAAGTAAAGAAGGGAACTTGGAGAACGCCTAAGTAGGGTTGGTTCAAGGGGGGGGGGGCTTTTGTCTGGACTACCTGGCTAAGCTGACAGCATGGTTCCAGGTGGGTGGTTGCAAGACTGGGGGAGGGGCTCTTTGACTGGAGGGGAGCCTAAGGGGTGGATCACCTGAACACCCCCCCCCTCTCCCAAGGAGGAATCTTCTTTGCGCTGCAAAAGATTCTTTGATCTGCCTTGTGATCCCATTTGAAGCTCCAGGCAGAAAGAGGGCTGGGCTCCATTGGCCCAGACCCCCGGGAGACCCTCCTCCTCCTCCCTCTCCCTCTCCATCCACGCACAGCTCTCTGCGCTGCCCGCATCCCCATTAGCTGCTTGGCGAGATTGGACAGAGCTGGGGGGCTCAGCCCTTAAGCCTCACTCGGCTGCTGGTGCAGCCTGTGGTTAAAAAAGCAGCAGCCGGTTTGTGGCCTTGCCGTGTGTCCGATTCCCCCGGTTTCTACTAAATGGGTTGAGAATCTCCATCTGGAACCCCTCCCCCAAATTCATGGCTTTCCCCGTGCAAGGTTTGTGTGTTCACAGCCGGTCTGTGCTCGAGGGGGCAGCTGCATCCAAGGCGATGGATGCATTTCCCCCACTTTGGTTGAGCTGGCTGAGATTGCAGAGCAAAGAGAATCCTACCGACCCTCCGGTCTCTACTAAAAATGCCCCCCCCCAGAAAAGAAACAGAACGCCCCCCCCTCCCCAACATCTGCTGACCTTGAATTGCAAAAACACCCCAGGCGTTTTGAAGGGTCACGTTGCTTTGCTTTTAATGAGGTTTCGGGGGCGCCACCATAAAGGCCGAGCCGGACGGGAGGGCCGCCGGCTCCGAGAGGGTCTTGGGGAGAGCGCGGCCTTTGTAGTCGGGAGGGAGGAGAACGGAGGGCCGCCTGGAGGATCTTCGGGCGGCCGCTGGAACGGAAACGAACCTTTCGCGCAAGGCGAGCAACCTGCGGCGCTCAAAGGGAGAAGCTCCTTGGCCGATCAGAGGCTCTGGGCGGCGCTGTTTCGGAGGCAGCTGGAGACAACTTCGCCTTCTGCCTTATCTGGGTGCTCCGTTCGCGGGAGGGCCGGGCCGGTCCCCGGGCTGCGCGTTCTTCTGCCTCTGGGGGGGCTGCCAAGTTGAGCTGCCGCTGCTACGGGAGGCGGGCAGGAGAGACGATCTGGGGCCTTGAGATGCGGGGTGGGGGGGGGACTCTGGGGTGACCTGAGCGAGGATGGACAGGACGGTGGCGGCGGCTCCCTCCGTGGCTCCGGCTCAGTTGCACTTGCAGTAGTAAGCGGAGATTGAGTCGTCCCAGTCGCCGAAGACGCCTCTCTTGAACTCCTGCAGGCGCGGGTAGGCGCCGGCCTTGAACTTCCGCGTGTTGCCCCCCTTGCCCTTCCTGTACCAGACGGTCAGCTCGCAGCGTTGGCCCACCACCAGCGAGGAGATCTTGTTGTTGAAAGCCGCGGGCATGTACGGCTGGTCTTCGCCCGCCACGGCCATCAGGAGGCTCCCTCCGCAGCAGAGGTCGTAGTAGGGGCTGTCGTCGGTGTACATCTGGGCGCAGACCTTGGTGCCGTTGGGGTTCGGGTTCTTGAGCTCGTTGGGGGCCGGGCACTGGGCCTGGCCGGTGGCGAAGAGCAGCGGGAGGAGGAGGAGAGTGCCGAGCAAAGCCTGCATCTTGGCCAAAGTGTCCAGTCCTTGGGCCGGACGGCGGCTTTATAGAGCTGGACCCCTCTGGGCATTTTGCCCGCACAAGGTCAGCCCAGGGAACGGGGGGCCCAGCTCTGGGAAGAGGCCAGCTGGGTGCCCAGCTTCAACGGCAGCCTCGGAGGCTCAGGGAGATATGCCAGGTGCCAAGGCATATCTCGTGCCAACTTGGCATGTTTGCTTTGCAGTCTCTCCTGGGCCCTTCGGAGAGGCCCAACAGATCTAGCGACGCTGGCTTCCCTGGTGGGGGTGGTGGGTCCGAGCGTCCCCGTGCAGCCTTTGGTGATCTGGATTGCATGAATGGCCATTGGCTGCCCTCTCCCTGCCAAGCTGGCACGAGGGAAGCACCTGGTTCTCTTCCAGTGCCCAACCTTATCTCCGCAGCTGGGAACTTCCCTCCCCTTCTCTCAGCTGCTGACTCTCCCAGGGCCCAGCTGCGGCTTTTCCCTGGCAGGCGGAGGGTCCCACCACCCTCAGCATCCCCCCACATCCCATCTTGAGACTCATGGGGGGGGGGGCTGTCATTTGCAACCCAGATTCTCTGGGCTCCTCCTGCAATTTAGCCAAGCTCCCCTCCGCGTGTTGTGGGTTGCAGAGAAGAGGGTGGGTGGGCTTGCGTGGCTAAGTCTGCAGGCTCAGCAGCCCAGTGGCCGGTCCCTTTGCTCCGCTTCCCCCCGCAGGCACCCGAGCAGAGGGTCGCTTGGAGAAAGCAGCGCCAGCGGAGAAGCCGCGCTTTGCTCGCGTTGCCCCCCCAGCCCCCTCCCCTCCCCACGCGTCTCGGGGGGAAGGGGCTTTCTCGCGAGGGGCTTGACTCGCCATCTGACTTGGGGTACATCCCGCGAGAGGCCGGGCTGGATTTCCACGAGTGGGCAGCGGGGAAGGGAGCCGGGTGCGCTCGGGGGCTTTGGCCAGGGAGGATGGACGGTGTAGTCCAGAAGGGAAGCCCCCCCCTCGTCCCACCCAGACGGGAGCCACCTTCTTGGAGCAAAGTCCGGAAGGGAGGAAGCCCCGCGAGGCTGGGGGAGAAAAGCGGCGCTTCTTCGCCACGGGAAAAGCCGAAGCCCCCCGCCCCAAAAAAGCTAACGAGCCAAATATTCGGAACGGTGAGTGACAGGGAGGCGTGGCCGGCCTCCCGCTTCGCCCCGCCTCTCTTCATCGGGATAGGCTTACGGCCCTTCACTGGCCGAACTTTCAACGGCGCTTGCTCCGCCTTCTTTTTTTTTGCCTCCCGCGCCTTTCCTAATATGCATGCGGGCCCCAGAATCCTTCGCGGCCACCGATTCGGTAAAATACCAGGAGAGAAGCGGGTAATTTCTCCCCCAAATCGTCCCGGGAGGTGACGCGCATCTCAAACGTCGTCGAGAGACTTCTCTTGCTTCCTCAATCCGTTGCCTGGGCAGGCTCACTCTCACGTGAAATAGTGTCCAGCAGGAGGGCCTCGGTGCCGGCGGGACGGTTCTCTAGCTTTGCGCAGTGGCAGTATCGTAGCCAATGAGGTTTATCCGAGGCGCGATTATTGCTAATTGAAAACTTTTCCCAATACCCCGCCATGACGA